ACCAGCAGTTAGCGTAATGGCTATGTCGCTGGACTCCCACATAGTCTACCGCGGTTCGCATCCCGGACCTGGTGGCTTAAAACTCATGCCTGACGCGTGTGTGTGCGTGCCCAAGATCCCGAGAGGAGAATGGAGGAGAAGGGATTGCGGCATGGCCATCCCCCCTGAGGGGTGCTTTCTCGCTTTCTGTCTCTCTGTCTCTCTCTGGCGAGCGCACGCGCCCTATTGCAAAAACGTCTCCAAAAAGAAAAAAAAAAGAATTGGCTGCTAATTTAATTGGTAATTTTTTTGTTCTTATTTTAGTGACATAAAAAAAATAATGTTGATTTTACAACCAGTGGGCTCTGAGGGTAGCCAAGTGGCCGTGTTTCTCTTGATTTATCTTGTCGCTAGCTCGTTCGTATGTGAACTTTTTTTTTAATAGAGATTTTTGCTATAGAGCGTGTGCACTCACCAGAGAGACAGAGATAGATAGAAATCACACAAACCCCCGGGAAGATGGCCACACTACTCCCCCTTCTCCTCCATTCTCCACTTGGGATCTTGGGCACGCATGCACACCTGCCAGTTCCAGGACTCGAACCACGGTCGAATATGTGGGAGTCCAGCAATGTAGCCATTATGCCATCTTCTAGTCCCAGTAGGTGAACTTTTTAATGTTCTTAATTTTGATTGGTTTCAGCTCTTTTCCTGAATATGAAACAGTTGAGATCATTACCTTGTTTAACTGTACAATGAGATTTTGGAGCCAGATGGTGGCACAGTGGTTAAATGAGGCACATTGCAAGGCAGTTTGTTTTAGTAAGGCTCTCCGGGTTCAAGCCCAGAGAACCCTGATGTGCTTGAGTGTGCATGGTTCAAGGCCGGCTAGAGGCTCCGGGTGGGCCATGGTGCGGGTACCCTGCAGGGTCACTATCTGTCCCTGGTCTCTTTTCTCCCTCTTGCTCATGGAAAAAATAAACATATTTTTAAATGAGATTTTATAAATTGATTGATTGTAAATATTTCATGTTTATGAACCTGCATTTATGAAAATTGTTTTTGAACCTTCATAAACAGTTAAGTTGTGACTATGTCAGTGATTCTGCTTTAATTTTATTGGCCTGGATTTGTTTTGATTCTTGTGCATTGAAAGGCATTCTGGAGTTGTACTTGTGAATTTAGTTTGTCCTCATATACTTGCATGAATATTTCTCTTCTGCACTTCTCATGAATTCATTCATTTATTAAGTCTGGTGTCCTAGAAACATGGTATTTCAGCCTGACTCTCTTGTTTGCATTTTGAGGTTAGGTGAAGAAATAACCCGAGAAGCCAAAAAAGCACGAAAAGTGGGTGGCCTTACTGGTAGCAGCTCTGACGACAGCGGCAGTGAGTCTGATGCCTCTGATAATGAAGAGAGTGACTACGAGAGCTCTAAAAACATGAGCTCTGGAGATGATGACGATTTTAACCCGTTTCGAGATGAATCCAGTGAGGACGATGAAGACGGTACGTTTATCAGTGTTAAACGTAGACTGAAGCTGACGCTGCTCTGCTTGTCAGCTTGAGGAGGTTTTGTCGTGTTTGAGGAGGGTGTGTCGTGGTTGAGCTTCCTCGTGTGCAGTACAGGTGATCACCCCGTCCTGATCTGTGTGGTGGAGAGCGCCACGCTTGTTCATCTCGGGGAGGTTCGTGCCTCATGTGAGGAGACGGCCGCAGTGTTACGCAGTAACTTTTAACCCTGCGTCATGGGCCTGCGGTGACACAGGCGGGCTGGGCACTGCTGCGTGGTCCGGGAGCCATGTTGGAAGGCTCTGAGTGGAGATCATAGCAGGTATGCCCATGACCCTCCCTAGCTGGAAGGCTGGTGGAAGATTGCAGTGAGGTCAGACCCTGACAGGAGTGCCGCCACATGCCTCCCTCTACACAGTACACGTGCACCACAAATGCACCACACGCGAGGGCAGTTGGGGAAAAATTATAAGTTACCAGTTACCAGTCCCCAAAACCTCAAGGGTTGTTTCTTTTCAATATTGTGTACTTGGTTCAACAAATGATTTGATCCACATCTTTCCTTAACTTTTAGATCCCTGGCTAATCAGAAAAGACCACAAAAAAGGCAAAGATAAAAAAAAGAAGAAAAGCATAGATCCAGACTCTATTCAGAGTGCCTTATTAGCGTCAGGTCTTGGATCAAAGCGACCTAGTTTCTCATCTACACCAGTTATCTCACCTGCTCCCAATAGCACACCAGGTAAGCATGTAGAAACCGGCATTGTTTGTGAAATACAACTCTTTAAAAAAAAATATTGGGGGCCAGCAGGTGGCGTGGTAGTTAAGGGCGCTGGATTCCCACATGTCCCAGCACAGTTTAAGTCCCAGGCCTGGAGGCTTACTTTCTCACATTCCTTCCCTCCTTCCCTCCTTCCCTCCTGCTCGCTCTCTCTCTCTCTCTCTCTCTATCGCATACACTCTGCCCTGGTCAAATTAAAATAAATAAATGGCTTATTTTCTCACTTTCCCTTTCTCTCTATTTCACATACTGTCTCTCTCTGGCCAAATTTGAATGAATGAATGAATACATATTTATTAGTAAATAAATAAAATAATTTTTTAATTAAAAAAATCTTAAAAAACAGGGGACCTGCAGATGGCATAATGGCTATGTCACCAGTCTCCCATGTAGTCGACTGTGGTTTGAGTCCCAGACCTGGTGGCTTAAACTCACGCTGGACACATGTGCGTGCGTGCTCAAGATCCCGAGAGGAGAATGGAGGAGAAGGGATTGCAGTGTGGCCATCCCCCCTGGGGGAGTGATTTCCCACTTTCTGTCTATCTTTCTGGTGAGCGCACATGCCCTATAGCAAAAACCTCTCCAAAGAAAATTAAGCAACAACAACAAAAAAAACCCAGGACCAGCAAGTGATGTGATGATTAACCCGCTGGACATTCCCACATGGCCGACCACGGTTCAAGTCCTGGACGTAGTGGCTTGTTTCCTCACTTACTTTCTCTCTCTCTCTCTCTCTCTGGTCAAATTAAAACAAATGATGAATAAATAAATAAAAGAATTAAAGAAAAAACCCAAGTATTTAGCTTCACACTGACTTGTAACAAATGCCCTTTTTGTAGCTAACAGTAACACCAACAGTAACAGCAGCCTTATAACAAGCCAGGATGCTGTGGAACGGGCCCAGCAGATGAAGAGAGATCTCCTTGACAAGCTAGAGAAATTAGCTGAAGACCTTCCTCCTAATACTTTGGATGAGCTCATTGATGAACTTGGTGGCCCCGAGAATGTTGCTGAGGTAAATACGGCTTGATCAGAGCTGCGTCTTCTGGTAATGTTTTTGCCACCTTTAAGTCCTGTAGGTGAACCGAGTGTCGTCATGTAGTAATCTAGCTATTTCCTTGTAAGTCTCACTCTACTTCGTGGTCATCCCAGAGCCACTGAAGCACTGCTGCCAGCGTGAGTGACTCTGGAGCTACTGGTCTTGGGCCCCATGCTTTTTCTTCAGCTTCTGTGACAGTGGCTGCACGTCACCTGTGCAAGGAGCATGTGGCAGTGCTTCGTGTCTCCCGGGGCTGTTCGAGGACTGCTGTGCTCTGTCTCCCACATTCCTTTAACAGAGGGGACACTGAGCTCCACACACCACGCCCTAACCTTAGTTGTATCGACACCTTTTGGCTCCTCAGATGACTGGCCGCAAGGGGCGGGTTGTGAGCAATGACGATGGAAGCATATCCTATGAGTCAAGGTCTGAACTTGATGTACCCGTGGAGATACTAAATATCACAGAGAAGCAGAGGTTTATGGATGGAGATAAGGTATGTTTTTCTGGGATGCTTTTTGATGAAAAGAGCAATGCCCATCTTTGATTTAAGCTTCAAAGGTGTTCTTTTTCATTTTAATATCATTAAGGCAGTTCCATTTATTTATTTATTTAAAGAATTATTTAATTTAATGTATTTATTTGTGTGTGTGGGGGGGAAGTTTTTGCTATAGGATACGTGTGCTTGCCAGAAAGAGAGACAGAGAGCAAGAAATTCCCCCCCTGGGGTGGGGGAAGGATCCCTTCTCCTCCATTTTCCTCTCCGGATCTTGGGCACGCAAGCACATGTGCCTGGCATTAAGTTTAAGCCACTGTGTTCAGGACTCAAACCACGGTCAACTACATGGGAATCCAGTGACATAGCCATTATGCCAACTGCTGGTCCCTCTTATTTTTATTTTTAATTTGACCAGGTAGAAAAGGAAAGTCAGAAAGTAAGCCGTCACGTCCAGGACTTAAGCCAGGGTCGGTCGTGTGGGAGTCCAGTGCCTCAACTACCACGCCACCTGCTGGCCCCTAATTCGTTTATTTTTATTTTGCCGGAGGGCTTGTGTGTTTGCTAGAGAAAAAGAAAGAGGAAGTGAGAAAGCACTCTCCCTGGGGAATGCCTATGCCACAGTCTCTTCTCTGTCCCCCCCCCCTTTTTTTGAAAGAATTACTTATTTTTTTAATTCCATTTATTATTTTTATTTATTTATTTATTTTTAAAATTTGACCAGAGAGAGAAAGGGAAAGCAAGAAAGCAAGCCATCAGGTCCAAGACTTGAACCGCAGCCAGCCATGTGGGAATCCAGCACCCTTAACCACCACGCCACCTGTCTCTCTCCTTTTCAGGATTTTGGACACATGTACATACACGAGTTTCAGGCTGCCAGTTCTGAGACTTGAGCCGTGTGATTAGCCATTTGGAATCCTGCCCCCTTAAGCACTGTGCAACGGACTTCCCAAAATATTGTCATTCTTTATTTTTTAGGAATTTACATAATCACTGAACTTTTTTATATTTTTCATTATCAGCACATAGTGAGTTGAATTAATGAGTGATTTTTATTATGCCCATAGTTAGATGTGGTTTGATAGCTTTGCAGACTTTCGAAATCCTCAGTCGATATTACCATGGTGTGTTCTCTTAGGTCATGTTGGTGTTACGACATGTCGTGTCTCTAGTGTCATTCTGATTTCAGTTTAGAATGGTGTTTAAGAGTGGCAGAATTACTAATACCCTTTTCTTTGGTTGGTTGTTTTATTGCTTTGCCATGTCGTGTTAAGCTTTCCTTTGCCTGGCTTAGAGACCGAACATCTGTGTTAGACTCAACGTTGGTTGCTCCCGTAGGCCCTTTCTATAGATCTTTATTGTTATGTGGACTTCATTACACTTTTAAGATTTTTTTTTACTCTTTTTTTTTCTTCTTTTGGAGAGGTTTTTGCTATAGGGCGCGTGCATTCACCGGACAGAGAGAGACAGAGAGACAGAAAGCGAGAATGCACGCACGCACAGGCACCCGGCATGAGTTTAAACCACCGGTTCCGGGACTCAAAATGCGGTCGACTACATGGGAGTCCAGCGACAGCCATTATGCTAACTGCTGGTCCCCCCCACTTTTAAGATTTTTTAGGTATGATTTTTAGGTTTGTTCTTCATCTCATTAGCACAACTTTGTAAATATTTGCCAATGAGAGTATTAAAAAAATAGGTGGCAGTGGGCCCAGCCGGTGGCATGGTGTTTAGGGTGCTAGACTTCTATATGGCCGACTGCAGTTCAAACCCTGCATTCAGCTGCTTGAAAATCACACCAAGAACGTGTGTATGTGTGTACCAAAATCCTGAGGGAGGGGATAATCGCAAAACTTTTTTTTTGGGGGGGGGGTAAGGTTTTTGCTGTAGGGTATGTGGGCTTGCCAGAGAGAAAGAGAAAGAAAGTTAGAAATTGCCCCCCCCA